CCGTATCGTACAATATAACCAAGCATGTAATGATGAAAATATACATTTCATCATGGCACCGAGAGAGATACCATTGTAAATTAATTGAGATGTAAGTTTATAGCCATAACACTCATTTTATATTTATAAAAGAACACGAATCTTAAACATATTTATTAAATGCATTGGGTTTGGAAGAAAGGAAATTGTACTGGAAACTAGAAATGAGATTACACACCTTAATTTCTTTGATTTTGAACTCATACATTGGCATAACTTTAGAGCTTCCTTCTTAGCATGGAATTATCCTCGTAGTTAAATTGATTACCTTTTACACTAATTAAATCTAGAACAAATTACATAAATCAAGAGCAATTCTTAAACACAAGTTTCAATATTTTTGTTCTTCTGTTTGGCCAAATCATCTCTATGTGAGGATGCCACATAATTCCTTACACTTTGTACATGTAAAGTGAAATTTCACTTGTTTTTTTAAACTTTAGCTTATATTTACTTAAATCTAGTTTAAATTGATTTTAAGACATTAAGCAAAGTACATGAGTAACTTGTACTCTGAAATCTTAAATCTGAAAATTAGAAAGAGAATAATAATAAAAAATAAAATCTTTTCGGGTCGGTTCTCCCACAGTTGCAGGAAATGCAGCTGGGAGCTGCAGTATTGCGGTGATTCCACGTCCCGCGTCAGACATGCCACTCAATATGCATGATACCTTACCTTTGCATGAAAAAAATGTATTTCACTTTTTAAAATTTAAAATTGTAGTGTTTTTGACGTGAAATGAAAGATTTGGTTGGTATAAATGTCAATAGAAAAGTTTAGGTGCTAGATTAGTACATACATATGAATTGGGTCGTATGTATGTGAATGCCTCTATTATTTATCAACAATTCATAGCTAATGATGATGAATAAGCATCTTCTTAAAGTCTATTCCCTCCAGTTCAGAGCTACCCTGAAGATTAAAAAATTTCAAGGAATTCTTTTTTTTTTTTGTTCTTATTACAAGGCCAATGGAAAATGATCTTTACAGGATCAAGTTGAATCTGTTACTACTGAAGAGTTATCAAGAGAAGAGCTGGGTCGTCTTGTAGCTTCCCGCTGGACTGGTGAAGGTGCGGATCAGACAGCTGATAAAATAAGAAATGTTGAGGAAGACCTAATGGATCAAAAACCATATGTCGCGCATGAACACAAAGGCTTTACCTCAGAAACTGATGATGATAGAGCAAAAGAAGAAGAAGAAGAAGAAGATGATGATGATGCTGATAGTAATGAGGACAGTTTTCATGATGATCGAGATGATGAATTTGCAGATGACCATGCAGATTTAGATGGGTCTTATAATACTAATGAATATGAGCAAACTGATCCTGTAGGTATGATTTCTGAACGCTTCAGAAACTCTGTTGTGATATGAAATGGGTTTCTTGCTGAATCCTGTTTGTTGTTGAAAGGTGGTTAATGAAGATTTACATGCACACCACTCAATCCCTATGTATTTACATATCTAATTCCCACACTTCAATGTTTACATATATACCACCTTTCCTCTGCATAAAAAGTTGTATTTTACTGATACTGGAGTTAACCCAAACCACGACACAAGACACGAATTTATTAATAATTTAAAAGACGGTTACAATGAGGACTCAAAAGAAAGAAGGATACTACGTAAATGGAAACATAAAACGAAACATCACAACAAAACCTGAACACAAAAAGATGCGACAAGCTTGACGAGGAGGTAGTCCGGAGAGGCCTTGCTGTGGTGAAGGCCAGAGCAATCTCTGGTGGACATAGGCGTTCTTTTCGGCGTAGAACCACAACTGGGAGAAGCGGCGAATATTGTCGACGGTTGGAGTCTGGAAGTGGTGATAAAGGCAGCCGAAGCCAAGGAGCGGATGTAAGTGTTGCGGCCAAAGCCGAGGAACGGAGGCACGAATGGTGGAGTTGGGGGGGGGGGGGGGCGTCTGCATGCTGTAGAAAGGACTGGAGGCGCTGGGAAAGCCTGACAGAGATGGCGGCCTGCTGTGAGAGAGGTGACGGGTGCTGCGACGTCCTGCAGGGAGGCTGTAGGGTGGGCTGTCGATGGTCTGGGAAGGCAACAGAGAGCTGCAGGGTGCAGGTGGCAGCATGGGCTGTGGGTAGAAGGACAACAGGTAGCTGCTGTCGGCCTGCAGGGAAGCTGTAGGGGAGGATTGGTGTTGGTTTGGGCTGATAGCAGGGCTGGAAGGCCTTCTGGGAGTTTTTCTGAGGACTGGTCGGTGGTCAGGAGGTGCAGCAAGGGAGGAACGTCGGCTGTAGTGCTGGCAGGGAGGTGGCCGGCTGAGATGGAGGCTGGCTGGACTGCTGGAGGATTGCGGGACAGCGGATAGGGGGCGGAACAGTGAATATAAACACCACCTCAGATGGGGTTACAGTCGGAACACCTTTCTCGTCGTCGAGTACAACCCTTCAGAGGGAAAAACTTCAAGCAAAGCTGGATTCAGACTTCAAAATCATGACCCTCATCTTAGACACAAGAACTCCTATTTATAAAAGACTTGACTCAATTTTAGGAAACATTAAAATGGGAAATTTATAATATCTGATTTTTCAGAATTTAGGTAAGACTTTTAAAATAGGAAAATAAATAAAATCAGATTTTAGATTTAAGGAAGGAAAATCAAATCAAATCAAATCAAATTTTAGGCTTTTAGTAAAGGATTTAAATTAGGAGAAGAAATAAAAATCAAATCTTAGGAAGGTTTTGGAATTAGGAAAGGTCTAGGAAGGGAGGAAAGGCAAGGGAGGGAAAAAAGACAGGAAGAAGATGGAAAGAGAAGTAGAGAAAGGCGGGGATGGTGGGGCCCCACTCCAAGGGGACTGACTGGACCGGCTCCCATATAAGCCCATTGTCAGTCTCCCGGGGTTGGTGGAGTTTCAACCTCAACTGTCGAAGCTTCTGGATTGTCAAAGTATGGAGTGAGAATTGCAATGTTTAAGGTGGCAGAAATGTTTTAGTCCCTTAGTAGGTCAATCTTATATGCATTATAATTAAGTTCTCACAAACTTCTGAAAGGTTCGTTTGCTCTGGGTTTCAATCTTCCGAGAGCTTTTTCTAGGAATCGTTCCTTTTTCAATCGGATCCAGATGAGGTCGCATTATTTGAATGTCTCCTTTTTCATTGGTTTCTTTGCTTGAGCTTGTTATTTTCTGTTTTGTCTAGCAATCTCTTTGCCAACTTGTTCATGTATTTTTTGGATTTCGTGATCCCGTTCTGTAGCCTGTTGGGTTAATTCTGATGTTGGTAGGAGTGGAACCAGATCAAGTGGTGTGAGTGGATTGTGGTCGTAGACAATCTCGAATGGACTGTGTCCTGTTGGCTGACTTGTAGATCAGTTGTAGGCGAATTTTACTTGGGCGAGAATGATATCCTATTGTTTGATATTCTTTCCCACAAAACATCTCAGTATGTTTATCATGCTGTTGTTTACTACTTTAGTATGACCGTCCGTTTGTGGATGGGCTGCTGATCTGAACTGGAGCTTGGTGCATAACTTCCCCCATAAAGTACGTCAGAAATGGCTTAGAAATTTGACATCGCAGTCTAATGTAATAGTTTTGGGGATCCTGTGCAACCGAACAATCTCTCGGAAGTGTAAGTTTGTGATATGAGACGCATCTAGTGTGCGGTAACAAGGTACGAAGTGTGCAATTTTTAAAAAAATGATCCGCTACAACTATTATAAAATCTTTATTCCTCTGAGTGTTGGGGAGATCTAATACAAAGTTCATGTCGACATCTACCCTGGATACTTTTGGTACTGGTAACGACGTATACAACCCTGTATCCTGTCCTCTAGTTTTTTCTAAGTGGCATATTCTACATTGGCGCACATGTCGCTAGACATCTCTTGTTAGTCGAAGCCAGAAGAAGTGTTCTTTAACGAGAGTGAGGTTTGTCTTTGCCGAAATGGCCTGCGAGGCCTCTATTATGGTTCTCTTGTACAATTGCTTCTCTCAAGGAGCATCTGCATAGTTTATTTCGGTAGAACATGTATTCATCTGCACAGTAGTGCTGCCATGTGGGTTCTTGACATTGTTCCCAAATATCTTTGAAGTCTTCGCCTGTTGAGTACATGTATCTGATGATCTCAAACCCTATGGCGCTTGATTGCATTGAAGTGATAAGTGACGTCGGCTTAGCGCATCGGCAACGCGGTTTTGGCTCCCTGGTTTGTGTTTAAGTATGAATTTGAATGATGCCAAAAATTCTACCCATGTGGCATGATGGCTTTTAGCTTTCTCGGACTGTTCAGAAATTTCAAGGCTTCATGAAGGTGAACTGGCTTGTCAACAGATAGTGGATCCAGTGTTCTAGGGATCGAACAATTGCATAGAATTCTTTATCGTATGGTGAGTATTTCCTTCTGGAGTCGTTTAGTTTCTCACTGAAGTAGGCGATAGGGTGACTGCCCTGGTTCAATATGGCATCTATCTCGACGCCTGATGGGTTACATTCTACTTCAAATAGTTGTGAAAAATCCGGTGAGGCTAGAACCGGCGCTTGAGTTACTTTTGCTTTGAGTGTGTCGAAGCTAGTTTGAGCAGTGCTTGGCCAAGTGAACTCTTTTGCTTTTCAAAATCTCTGTGAGGGGAGCAATAATGGTGGTGAAATTTTTTATGAAGCGATGGCAAAATAAGGCTAATCCAAAAAACTGTCTCATTTCAGTGAATGATTGAGACGGGGTTCAGCTTATTATTGCTTCGATTTTTGTCCAGTCTATTTGAATGCCTGTGTTGGACACAATGTAACCCAAAAGACATATTTGATTTATCATGAAAGTACATTTCTTTGGATGAGCATATAATTTATCATTCTGGAGTACTTTGAAGACCTCTGTCAAGTGTTGTACATGCTTCTCTTCATAATGACTGTATACTAGTATATCATCATAGTAGACTACGATGAATTTCCCGATGAGGTTGCAAAATTTTTGATTCATTAATCTCATGAATGTATTGGGTGCATTTGAAAGACCAAATGCATGACTGTCCACTCGTATAGTCCATCCCGTATTTTGAAGATGGTCTTCCATTCGTCGCTTGGTGTCATCCGTATCTAATGGTATCCGCTGCATAAGTCGATCTTTTAGAACAAAGTGACTCTGTGTAACTGGGCTAGGAGATCATCAAGTTGAGGTATTGAAAATCAGTATTTGATTGTTATTGATGGCTCTACTGTCGATACACATCCTCCATGTTCCATTTCTTGGGTGCCAGTAGGGCTACCACGACCCACAAATTTGTACTATTTCTAATTAGCCCTCTGTTGATGAGGTCTTGCACTTGTCGTCGGAGTTCCTCATATTTTGTTGGCCTTAGCCTGTATGCAAGTCGGTTTGATAGGACGAATCCCGGTATAAGGTCTATAGCATGTTGGATGTCTCGCTGTGGTGGTAATCCCTCTGGCGGACTGTCTGTCATGATGTCCTGGAAGTTTTGCAGTAGTGGTTGTAGGCGTTCAAGTACGGAGTTTTCTTCCTCGGATCCCTCGAGTAGAACTAGGGCTAGAGTTATCGGCGCATCTTGAACTGACTACATGAACGTGGCTCTTGTAACGACTATCTTCTCGGTGTCGTTGATTCCTCATGCGTTTTTACTTGGCAGTAATATGATGCATTTGACAACTTTTTTGAAGGAGTATGTGTTTTTAAACCCGTCATGTTGAGTTTTGCAGTCATATTGTCAAAGTCGTCCCATATAATGTGACATGCGTCAATGGGGACGATATCACACCATACTTGTTCCTTTATTTGGTCGTCTATCGAGAACGACATTGCCGATCCACGCATTTCTTTTTTTTTTTCAACCAAGTGAGGGAGTAGGGTTGAGGTGGTTTTTGCGTGGGTAATTCTAACTTTGTCACCATTAGTGTTGATACGACAATTTGACACCTGCCATTGTAGATTATCAAGCTGCAAACTTTCCCTTAAACTTTACACTTTGTGCAAAAGATGCAGTGTCATAACCATGACTAATTCTGTGCTGGTTCGGATTGTAAAACTCGCCGTAGGACTAGTAATTTGCCTTCATCCTCGAGAAACTGAAATGCTTCATCAGAATTTTTGTCTGGTTCCTCATCCCCGCTTTCCTCCATGACACCTTGGTCTGTAAAAGTGACAATTTGACTTGTGAGACAGTTGGAAGCGATGTGGCCGAAACTATGACATCTAAAACACTTTCTGGCTGGCATTGGCCCTGAAGAGCTACCTTTTTCATGTTTCTTGCTGCTTGGATCAGTTTTTGCATTCCCGGGTGCTGGTTTCCTTGTTCCTGGTGTGCTTTTGTCGGCAACTGTAGCTACTGGGGTTGGCTTGTATGAGGATTGCTATAGGAAGGAAGACTGCGATCTGACCTGTTTTTTGTCGCCTTTCAACTTTCAGTGCTAAGGTTTGGACGTCATTCAACTACCAATAAGGCTGTAGTTGAACTGCATTTCCAATGGTGGGCTTCAGGCCTCCGAGGTAGCAGACGATGGTATGCTCCTCTCGTTCTACCAATTCACATTTTTTTTGTAATTGATCAAATTTGACAGTGAACCCCTCTACAAAGATCTCTCTGTTGTAGGTTGTGGAGCTTCAGGAAGATATCTTGGCGGTAGTGTGGTGGCAGGTATTTCCACAGTAGTGCTTTCTTCATTTTGTCCCATTTCGTTATTTTATCGCAAACGTCCCTCATTGGTTGACGTTGCAGGTTGTCCCACCATAATGAGACATGTTTTTCAATTTAATAGCTGCTAGATTGACCTGCACGAGGAGAAGGAAAAGAAAGAATGGGGAAAAAATTTTGATTTGGGGTGGGGTGCAGATGCTTGAGCACCCTAGGATAGAACTAGGGTTGAGCTAGCTCTGATACCAAATGATACCGGAGTTAATTCAAACAATGACACATGATACAAATTTATTAATAATATAAAAGATGGTTACAATGAGGACTCAAAAGAAAGAAAGATATTGCGCAAATGGAAACATAAAACGAAACATCACAACAAAAACTCAACACAAAAAGATGTGATAAGCTCGAAGAGGAGGTAGTCCGAAAAGGCGGTGCCAGGGAGGTGGCTATGGTCAAGGCCGGAAAAATCTCAGTTGGACATAGGCGCTCGTTGCTGTGTCAAACCTCAACCGGGAGAAGCGGTGAATGTCATCGAAGGCTGGAGTTCGGCGGTGGCGATTAAGGTAGCCGAAGCCGAGGAACGGAGGTAAGTTTGGCGTCGGTCCAGGCTGACAACAGGGCTGGAAGGCTTGCTGGGAGGTTGTCAGAGGACTGTAGTGCTGGCAGGGAGGTGGCCGGCTGAGATGGAGGCTGGTTGGACTACTGGCGAACTCTGGGATAGCGGATAGGGGGCGAAACAATGAAAATAAACACCATCTCAGACGGAGTTACAGTCAGAGCACCCTCATCGTCGTCGGATACAACCCTCGAGAGGGAAAAAAATCACTTCAAAACTAAGACCCCCATCCCAGACACAAGAACTCCTATTAATAAAAGACTTGGTTCAATTTAGGAAACTTTAAAATAGGAAATGAATAATATTTGATTTTAGAATATAGACAAGACTTTTAAAATAGGAAAGGAAATAAAATCAGATTTTAGATTAAGGAAGGAAAATCAAATCAAATTAAATTTTAAGCTTTTAGGAAATAATTTAAATTAGGAGAAGGAATAACAATCATCTCTTATTTTAGGAATATTTTGGTAGTAGGGAAGGTCTAGGAAAAGAGGAAAGGCAAGGGAGGAAAAAAGGCAAGAAGAAGATGGAAAGAGAAGAAGAGGAAGGTGGGGGCAGTGGTGCCCCCTCCAAGGGGACAGGCTGGACTGGTCCCCATATGAGCCCCGCGTCATTTATTGTTTACAAATTACAAAAGTGTTTTTTTTTTAGTGATATACAAGATTAAGGTGGTATAAATGTGAAAGGAAAAGTTTAAGTATTAGATGTGTAAAATGTAAATGAATAGGAATTGGGTGGTATGTATGTAAATGCCCATTGACTTAAATGTGTGGCTCTCCAGATACCACAGAGGCAAGTAGCTCATCATGGTTGGGCAAGATACAACAGACTGTGCAGAACGTTCTTCAGGCTTTCAACTTCTTCAAGACTCCAGTGAATGTATCAGGTATGTGCACCTGTTCTTGTCAAGATAATGTCAATTTTGACACAATACATTTTTAAATCTATGTTTTTCAGATGCCACTCATATTCGGAAGGAATATGATGACGCGAGTTCAAAACTGTCGAAGGTGCAGTCGAGAATATCCAGTTTGACAGAAAAACTTAAACATGATTTTGGTAAGAATTGTACAGCCTTGATCTAAATATGAAATTTCATGGTTTCTATGGTGATGTTTGCATATATTTTAAGCATTCATTTTAGTATTTATTGTGAAAATTAAGCTTTATTGACTTGGTGCTTTAATCATTCCTTTTCCAGGCAAGGAGAAGGAATTCTATTCCTTCCATGATCAGTGCTTTGAGAGTAAACAGAACAAGTACGAAAGGAGTATCTTTCCTTGTCCTCTGTGATAATTAACTTTCCTCTTTTATTATTAGGGGCATTTACATATATAACACCACCTAATTGCTATGTATTTACATATCAACTTCTAAATTTCACTTTCTACATTAATACCACTAAAGTGAAATACTCCTTTTCATGCATAGGTAAGGTGTCATGTGCATAAAAGTTTAAAGTTTGTGGTAGATATGTAAATACATAGAATTTGGGTGGTATGCATAAAAATCTTCCATATTCTTATTCTATTCATGCCATGTATCTGCCATTTTGTTCACTCCTTTAACAGATATGTGTACAAGATATGCCCATTCAAACGAGCTTCACAAGATGAGGGCTACAGCAGTACACGATTGGGGTATGTTCCCTGGATTCTATGATCCTTTAATTAGTATAATTACTGCTGTTTTAAAATTCAAATTTCAAAAATTTTATTTTGTTTAGTATTGTGATATCAAAGAGCTTTATACTGAATGACATTATATTTAGCGGCAGAACCAAAACTTGAAGGGATGACCAGTTCTAAATTTCAAAATTTCACTTTTGTTTTCTTAAAAGTTATTGTGAATATGATTATAAAATTAAGAATGCAATTAATATTAAATTTTTATTAAATAGTTGTGTTTAAGGGGATAAGTTTTTTTCGTGCATCATATGATATTAATTGATCTAGTAAAAATTTAGTGATCCCGACTCCCAACCACCCATTGGTTCTACTTCTGATTGTAGTCCCGTGGTAAAAGGGCTCTGAGATTTGTAGCGGGCAAAAACATTGATCCGGAGTCCGGATGTAAGCTTGCGCCCAAACAACAGACGTGCACCTGAAGGAGCGGAGGAGAGAAAAAAAAAATCCGGTGTATCGCTTCCATTGTCTGGTCACAATATTTTCTCTTGTAACAGTGCCCTTCACCAATATCAAACACCTAAACATTCATATTTAAATGTATACTAAAATTTTTAACATCACATCAAAAATAATGTCATCATTATCTTTTTAAATACACCGTTTCATGCATAAGTTTATAACATCGAAGTGTTATAAGTGTAAATGTCAAACCTTAGGTGTTAGATATGTAAATGCATAATAATTGTATGGTATGTTCGAGCAATGTATCATCATGCTAACTTCATCCATCTTATGCAAGCAGTAGTTGGGAAAATTTTGAAGAATCCTACAGGGTTATGGTCTTCTCCAATGGTGAAAAATGCTGGAATGGCCCTGATAGGAGCTTAAAGGTGCCAGCTTTCTTTTTAGTAACCCACTCACGAAAATCTCTGGGATAAACAGTTCTTATTTCTCTCTCTTTCTCATGCAGGTTAGGCTTAGATGTGGATTGAAAAATGAGATAAGCGAAGTTGATGAACCGAGTCGATGCGAGTATGTGCTGAGTTCTTCGTACTCATTCTTTTCTTTTAGTAATCGTAAATTTGCGAACTTGTCACTCGTAGATTCTCTCACAAACATCTTCAAAACTCTCGGAGAATGAATGATTGTTGAGTTCACAAATTTGGCATATTTTATATTTTTTTAACATATTATCTTTTTCTCATGTGCTTTGAATTTCAGATATGTTGCTTTGATGTCCACTCCTGCTGTATGTTTAGAAGATAAATTGAAGGTAAGACTTATTTTTTTTTATAGTCTACCATTTTATCGTAATTCATGCTCGGTAATTAAAAACGTAAACAATTCGAGGTTTGAGCTAGCTCGAGCATTATTCAGCTTTTCTTGTTATAGAGTCATAATCTATTATTGAGAAATTTACATAAGTAGCACACAATTCTTATTTATTTACATCTCACACCTGCACCTTTATATTTACATAAATAGCGCTTTGGTTCTTTAAACCTTTGCATAAAAAAATACAATAATGCTATTTTCGATTTGATTTTAAAGATTTGAGCGTTACATGTGTAAATATGAAAGTTTAGATTTGAGACAAGTAAATACATAAAAATCTGTGCTATATATGAGAATGCCCCTTTTTTTATTTGTGTTTAGCTTGTTCATTTATCCAGTCGATCATGATGTGCTCTTAAACATAAAGCCTAATTTAAAGAATGAATTAAATTAATGCTATATACATGCTACGTATTTTTACATTTGTTCGTATAAAAATACATGGAAGATGTGCACACAATCTATTGTTATACGTGCATACACAAATATAAACAAGAATACATGAATGTCTGAATACACACACACATACAGACACATATTTACAGACAGACATACATACACACTGACACATATTTACAAACAAACACATGCACACAGACATACATACATATATGTACCACCTTTCTTATATATTTAGATATTTAAAACACACATTTTTATGCATAGTTAAGGTGCTATATATGTATATATATATATATATATATGCATGGAGAACG